TTCAAGCCACTGGGTCTGGTACTCGAACCACAGTCAACTACGTGGGAGTCCAGCGACATAGCCATTACGCCAACTGCTGGTCCCCTCGGCCCATATCTTGATTTTATTCCACTGAGATCTGTGTCATACTTTGGCTTAAAGAACTCCAGGATGAATGTGTGTTGTTTTAGACCACTCAATTCATGGTAATTTATTACAGCAGTGATATGAAAATAATATGGTATCTGTCTGGTAAAAATGCATGACCCGTTGTATTAACCTTAAACATTTTCAAGGCTTATAAAAGGAGACCAAGGAGATTAAAGCCTGCAAACATACACATTGCATTAGCCTGTGATCTTATGTCCTGAGCATAAATCAACTTAAACACAGAATTCTACAGTTATGGTCTTCTAAACATCAATAAAATTCACAATTAGACAACTGGTTGTGTATGGTGGTCTCCGGAACCCACTCAAAATTATTTTGACCATTAAACCCAAACAATTTTTTCAGAGATCCATGTGATAAATGTTCAAGAACAATGTCTGCAAAATAATATGTGTAGTCTTTGAAAGATCATGACGTTTTGATATAGTTGGAACGTTTTTACATTCAGTATTCAAAATTTAGATTCAATGAAATATAAACGTCTATGAGTGAATCCTTACAGCCACCACAGAAGTGGAAGCACATTTGGGTATTCTCGCGTTAAAACATGATACTTTCAATTCCATCTTTTTTGTGAGATGCTCTGACTTGCTTCCAAAGGTGTCTTCATACTGAACAATGATGCTGAGTTGCCAACCATGAGCAAGTTTCTGGCAGAAGTCCTTAACAAAGCCAAGACAAACTGATACAGATCACTGTCGTTCCCCAAATTGGCACTGCTCTTGCTGGAAGCAAAGGCAAATGGAAGTGCAGCATTCCACTGAGGATCTAATTTCCTTGGTATGGCAAAGCTGGTATGCTGAAGTCACTTAGAGGGTAAAGTCATGCTGTACATCTAGGCTAATCAAAATATACCACTCCAAATTCTGCATAAAATATTTTTCCTGCACCCATTGCCATTTACCACCTGTAAATTTCAGTTCAGCTTTGGAGAGCATATGTATGAAAGCACAGCTCACTTAAACAGTGACATGATCTGTTTGCCTAGTAGATCCTCAGAGATAAGGACATCGCTATCATTAAGCGACTTTTCTCAAGCCGCCTGAATGAGCCAGTTAGTGTTTTAGGCAGGCAGAGGACTGTGCAGGCTAATTTAAGGGTTACCCCAATACTCCGCCATGGAAAAACCTGCTGATGTTTCTGTTGACATCTCACACTCAAGGTGCTTAGGAAAGTATCATATCATTTGGCAAAAACATGCTGTGGCTGAATCAGCAGATTTAACGCAAAGTCCCTATGTAGGCTATTTGTATAAAGATGGGTTCTGGAGAGACATGTTTGGTTAACAAAAACAAGAAACAACAGTTTAATGTACAACTAAATTTGTCTATATGCGAGGTAACCTTAAATATCTTTGGTTTTTTTTCTTTTAAATTTGCTGATAAAAAAAAGGACTTGAATAAAAACACTGATAAATACCAATATAAATGTATTGCTTTTAATCATGTAAACTTAGCCCTTTGATATCTTTTGCTACTAAAGCTAGATTCTCTATTGGCTTCTAAATAAAAGTATTTCAAATCTGCTCATCTTTACTTACAGACTAACATATATTTTAATGGTCTTTGGTATGAAAATACTGATGAGCAGTATCTTGTAATATTTGGCATAAAAATGGCATGCATGTATCAGTACTTACAGCAAATAAATCTTTGGAAAAGAAAAGAAGTTACCATTTGCATATTAGCCCCTTTGGAGTGAAATACTCTGAAATAACATCACCACTAAAAATGAGAGAGAACCCTCCAAATTTAGTTACCATTTCATACTAAGACTTCAAAGAAGCTTGCTTTGGCTGATATTTTGCTGTACACTACATATCTTATTTAATGAGACCAAAATATTTTTTTTTTGCAAAAAGGTTTTTTTTTTCTCCCCAACAAGTAGTTTCAATAATTTAAAAAATACTTTAATACTGTGTAATTGAAGATTTACTTGCTGAAGGAAAAAATCTGTAATTGAAATTCTTTGGAACTATCTTCTGGTAAAGAAAGTATAACTTATTTTAAATGCTCTGGTAACAGTAAGGTAGTTAACATTACTAGTCTATTTATCTACAACAATCCATATAAACCCTATCGTGCTGAGTTAGTAACTATTACATAAGCTTTATACCTATAGTTGTTTCTAGTTAATTCCATGTGGGGGGAATTATAATCAAAATTTCACTTTCTACTGAAATTTCTTTGGTAAGAGTATTATGAAAAGTCTGTATAAAAACAAGACAAAAAGGTTAAAAAATGTACTGGTAAATAATTAGCAAATAGTTAACAGCCTAAAGATCTATAATAACTATGGGCCCTATTCATCGAAAACCAACCAACCAAAGGATTTTCCTCAAGGACTTCGGGACATCTTTTTAGGCATTTAGAGCTATTCAATTTCATATAGTCCTAGATATAGTTTCTATAACCATGATGGATGATGTTTTGGCTTTACATTTGTTCGCCTTTCAATGAAACTTTAAAAAAACAAAGTGATCCTGTTGTACTCTTTCATTTCAGATACCGAGAAAAGGTGGCCCCAAATACTTCTACTTACAAACCAAAAAAACTCCATACCCTGTCAACGTGCCCATGCTTCCATGAGGCAGCTCAAAAGTAACAAAAGGTTCCCTGAGCACAGGAAAAAAAAATAACACTAGAATAACTTTCTAGGAGGTAGTATAAACAGGAGCTATAAAGGCAGGAGCAGCAGCATTCTTCCTTGCCGCAGACTGTTCACCGAAAGCTCTGCTTTTTGTTGGCTGCTGCAGACTGTTCACCGAAAGCTCTGCTTTTTGTTGGCTGGTTTCTTCTGCCATGAAGTCTATCTTTAGATAAGTAAATGAGAGATTTTGCATTTAGTTCAGAACTGGTGGCCTGCGCTTAATCTTGGTCTGCTTCTGAATACATCTAATTTGACACACACACACACACAAAAACAGATTAAAAAGACAATTTAGAAAAAAAAAAAAAAAAACGTCATCAGTCACTAGGCTAGGAGATGACACTGCGACCATCATCCAGCAATATTCTTTTGATTTGAGAACACCAGTTAACATGACTCTGGTATCTCTGAAAACAAAAGGTTTCAAGAGGAGACCCATTAAGAATCTTTTTTAAATGAGACTACAAATGTCATTTCTAGAATATTCAAAAAGATACTTTTAAAAGGATACAGGACATCCCTCCCCCCCACACACACACACACCATGCATTTAATCCTTTATCCTTTCCACCGCTGGGCACCCAGGGAACTGTCTCAGGGAGAAGATGCTATTCAATGTGGCTGAGTAAACAATTTGCTGATTTCAAACCAGCCAGAGGATTAACTCACTCTTGGAGTTAGCATTCCTCATTCACAGCTTTGACACTGAAGAAAGATGAAATAAACAGTACCAAATTCTCTTAAGAACTCAAGAAAACACAAGTAGGTGGTGGAGGTCTGAACCTAAACAAAACATGCACTTAGGAAAAAAAGGTGTTGGGAAGCTTAGGAAAAAAAAAAAAAAAAGGTGTTGGTAAAACAGTTTCTACTAAAATCCAGGGAACTTTTTAAGGCAACTTCTTGTACTCCCGTCCTAAACAACTTCATGAATACTGAAAAGGTATAATAAGGCAAAGAATTTCATCATATACACTGGAAGGCACTGTTAACATATCCCTCAAATTCATTTTACTGTCTACAGCTGCATTTTCTTCACTCTTAAAATCTGATGAGATTTCTTGACCTGTTTAAGTCAAACTTGGATTTTAAGAAGAAGAAAAAAAATCCTAACCTGTTCTCTTTAAATACGTATTTTCAGGGCCAGCAGGCGGTGTAGTGGTTAAGGTGCTGGACTCCCACATGGCTGTAGGCAATTCAAGTCCTGGACCTGGCAGTTTGAAAATCACACTTGGCACGTGTGCATGCAGGTCTTTTTATCCCAAGAGGAGAATGGAGAATGGAGAAGGGACTGCGGCGTGGCCATACCCCTGGGGGGTGATTTCTCACTTTCCCTCTCTCTCTCTCTCTCTCTCTTTTGTGAGCGCACATGCCTTAAGGAAAAAAACTTCAAAAACAAAAATCCATTTTCTGCATGGGGTTTTGCAACTAATTCTGGAACAGTTGAGGATGCTTTGCGAACTAGACAGTGCAGGCTTTGGCCAACTGTCAGGCAGGGGGGAAGGTGGACAAGGCACAGTGCTAGGCAGGGGAGTGTGGGATTGAGCCGGGCAAGCACTCAGACCCGAATGCCCCAAACGTCAAGACCTTTGAAGTACCATTATTCCCTATATGTTACTGAATTGTTCTGTTCTCAGAGGAGATGTACTCGTTTTGGTCATTCATTAAAATAAACAGCACACTGTTTTCTCTTAGTGGTTTCACACTCCTCACAGCCAGAGGTGTTAAACTATCCAAACCACATAGATGTTATAGTTTTTTAAAAAAAATCAGAGCTTCAGATAAACATTCTTACTCTTCTACCTATATGACTCCTTGGATCACACATATTACACATACAGCAATGAAAACAAAATACTATAGGAAGTATCGTTGGTTACACAGCTGAGATAAACTATAGCAACACGAGGTAACAAAGTTGTCTTCGGAGCTTGCCATCTGGCAAACTGAGGTAGATAGTCAGCAAAGGCGCTTTCCAAAGTCTTCCCTTTGCTCCAGTGATGTATTTTACAGTTCAGTCAAATATCTTGACTGTCCTTTCACATTGCTGACAATGAAACATTCAAATTACGTGAGTTTAAAAAAACACATTCAAAAAAAGCTGAAATACCCAATAAGACATAAAGATTTTCACAAAAGGCTTTGGCTCCCTGTTCATTGTCCTTCGAACAGACTTTCAGGTAAGAATACCTGGACGTGGCTGTCTAGATTGGATAATCACTTTTATCAAAGCACAGCATGGCAGAGGGCGGCTCCTGAACAGAAGAGGAAGTCTGCCCCACCGTGGGCGGTGCTGCAGGGCCTTCATGCTTCCTCACTGTGGGATTCCTACCTGCATTGCTGCCAGAGAAAGAATCAGAGGTTGGGGGTGTGGTACTTATCACTGATGACAGGTGTATCTCATCATTGGACTCATGAGAGAATCTTCCAGAATCCCCGGTCTCATGGCTGCCTTCACTGTTGGCCGAATGCTCAGTATCAGCTGCAACGCCAAAGGGTCTCGGGAAGGCGGCTGTCTGACCTGGGGAGCTGGGAGAGTCCTCATCGCTGATTAACACTGTAGTGCCCGGCTGATAAAAGCAGACAGCTCGAGTGAATCTTCTTTGGGGCTAGGGGAAAAAAAGATAAGCCGCAGTGAGACAAGAGGCTGTTGAAGTACACAGACAAAAGGGGCATTATCATGAACAGACTGTCTACATGGTCATTCACAGAGGGGCGGGAGCATGTCAGAAATGCCTGTGGGGAGTGATGAGTCATAAACTTCTCTCTCTCTCTCTTTAAGGTTTTTGTCATAGGGCATGTGTACTTGCCAGAAAGAGAGACAGACAGTGAGTGAGAAAGTGAGAAGTCACCTTCCCTCAGGGGGAGGGCGGGGGATGGCCACACCATAGTCCCTTTTCCTCCATTCTCCTCCTGGGATTTTGGGCACACGTGCACATGCGCCCGGAGTGATTTTCAAGCCGCCAGGCCTGGGACTTGAACTACAGTCAGCCATGTGGGAGTCCAGCACCTCGATCACTGTGCCACCTGTTGGTCCTTTCTTCAGTGACCTGGAAGCATTCTGCTGCCCTATTCCTTTCCTCATTGTCCCCTCTCCGCAGTGAAAACCATAGCTCTAATTACTCTTCCACTTGTCCTTTTAGTTACCAGTCACCGCAGCTGCTCATGGTCACGCCCAAATTAATAAAAATCATATTTGAGAAACCCAGAGAAATAAAAAGTAAGGAGCAATTATATTTTGCTTTCTTTTTGACTGTCACTTGATATATAAGGAGTTGACAACTTTTTTTCTCATTTAGGGGGTTTACCTGCTCAACTTTTATCTTCTTAGAATCTTGGAAAAAAAGCCATTTTTTCTTAGAATTATTTTTAATTATAGGGCCATAGCTATTAATGATCAGGTCAGTTCCTCCCTGGGGAAAGAAAAAAAGATAAAAGTAAATATCTTGGTATTTATAGATTTCAGTTTATCACAAGTAGTACCCCCAATTTTTAAATGTTAAAAGGAATCATCATTTCTTCTTTTACCCTGGCAGCACATGACACATTCTGGGGTAGTGATCACAATGATATACAGGTTGGGTATCCTTTATCTGAAATGTTTGAGACCAGAAATTTTTTTTTTCTGTTTTTTTTGAGTTTTTTTCTTATTGGGTGTCTGTGCTTGCCAGAAAGACAGAGAGAGAGAGAGAGACAGAAAGCGAGAAATCACCCCCCAGAGGGGATGGCCACGCCGCAATCCCTTCTCCTCCATTCTCCTCTCAGGATCTTGGGCACGCACGCACACGCGCCCGGCGTGAGTTTAAGCCACCAGGTCCGGGACTTGAACAGCGGTCGACCACATGGGAGTCCAGAGACATAACCGTTACATCAACTGTTGGTCTTGAGACCAGAAAATTTTCAGATTTTGGATTTTTCATGTTTAAAACATTTGCACATACATAATGAGATTACCTTGACATGTCTAAACACAAACTCATTTGAATTTCTTTTCTATCTTTTTTTTTTTTTTGGCCAGAGGGTGTGTACACTTGTGAGGAAGAGAGAGAAAGAGAAAGTGAGAAAGCACCCCTTAGGAGGGATGGCCATGTAGCAGCAATCCCTTCTCCTGCATGTCTCCCTCCTTCCAGGATTCTGGGCACACATGCACACGAGCCCGGTGTTTCTCGAGCTACCAGGTCAGGACTTGAAGTGTGTAGTCAGCCATGTGAGACCCAGTTGCCTTTACCACCACGTCGAGGGCGGGCCCCATGTGTATTTCATATACACATTAAGGGCATAGCCTAAAGGTAATTTTATACAATAGTTTTGCATATTAAAAAACTGAAATAGTTTCATATAATAAAGTATATCAAAATCACATTTTGACTGCAACCCATTACATGAGGTCAGGTATGGATCTTTCCACTTGTGACATCATGTTGGTGCTCTAAGAATTTCAGATTTTGGAGCATTTTGAATTTCATATATTTTGGAACCATGACAGGTTTGACATATATGTGCATGTGTGTGTATATAAATTTTTTTTTCTTGTATATAAACATCCACACACACACACACACTCTGAAGCACTTGGAGTACAATGTAATGATTCCAAAACTTATTTTCAAATGATACAGCAAACAAAAAGAAACATTGAAAAATATGGAATTATGGCTAGAACGTGACAATTACTTGTATATTTACTGCATTATTCTTTCAGCCTTTCTGCATGTTTGCAGAATTTGAAAAGCATTTAGAGGGAAAAAAAAGTACTGGGTCCTTATAAGCTCAACAAAGTCCCAATAGATGGGAGTGTTAAATGAAACCACTTTGGCCTAAAATGGCCGTTGTTCTCCCATACTTGGATTCCTATCGATAGGCCAAAATCGTACATGGTAGGCTGTTTTTTTGAGCTGGTTGCTAAGGTTACAGCCAATCACAGCAGCTAGGTTCAGTCAGTCACAGGATCCCACCTTTAAACTGCGTTAATGCAGACAAACTTCAGAATTTAACCAACCCAAATTGTCTCCCTACCTCGTTCCTTCACTTTGGTTTTTGTACATCACTTCCCTGTACGTGTCACCTTCCTCTTCCAGAGCTTAAATACTGAGCTGACCACAAGGCTGGTGGAGTTGTACAGAAGTCCAGAGACAACTGCCTGATTTAAATCGTGTTAAGATTTGGTTTATTAAAACTATATTGAGGGACCAGTAGATGGCATGGTGGTTAAGGGCGCTGGACTGCCCCATGGCCAATCATGGTTCAAGTCCCAGACCTGGTGACTTGCTGGCTTGCTTTCTCACTTTCTCTCTCTCTCTCTCTGGCCAAATTAAAATAAGTAAATAAAGTTAAATAATATAATTCTTTTTAAAAAAGAGGACTACTGTATATTTACTTATAAGAAAAAAAAACTATATTGAATTGGCTGGTTTATTTTTCTTTTAACAGTAGGGACTCAGGCTAACCCAAGGGAACTTGAAAGAGATGTCCTCCAAACTCATTTCTCTCCCTTATTCCAGGCCTCCTTTCATTATTGTTTAAAGATAGATAGATAGATGATAGATAATTTGTAAATAGTATGAGTGAGAGAGAGAAACAGAGAGAGAAACAGAGAGAGAGAGAGAGAGAGAGAGAGAAAGAGAGAAAGCAAGCCACCAGGACCGACACTCAAGCTGTGGTCAGCCATGTAGGAGTCCAGTGCCCTTAGCCACTATGCCACCTGGTGGCCCCCTCCTTTCATTTTAGATCCTCTTTCTTTTTTCCATGTCTTCCTCCCCACCTTGCTTTTCCCTATCTGTCCGCCATGTCTATTTCCAAACCAGTAACTACAGAACCACAGCACACTTTATCACCTTTTATACTTATTTAAAAGTTTCGAATTCTGGGACCAGCAGATGGCATAATGGTAATGTCACTAGACTCCCACACAGTTGACTGTGATTTGAGTCCTGGACCTGGTGGCTTAAAACATATGCCAGACATGTGTGCGTGCACACCCAGGATTCCGAAAGAAAGAGTTGCAGTGTGACCATCCCTACTGATCAATTCAGTTCCACAATCAATCAAAGTAGAAAGTGTATTAATAAACAAAATTGTCCAGCCAGTAAATGCAGGGTTCTCTTTATTTAAAGCATCTTAGCTCTATATAATCTCATCTAACTGAATTTATGCTACTATTTCTTTCCTTTTGTTCTCTTTCATCCTTCATTCTTTATTCTCTTCTTCTCTCCAGGTAGTGTGTAAGGGATGATCTAGGTGAATTTTTGTTTGTTCTTACATTTCACTAAGAGTATGGTTATAATGCATTTAACATATAATTTTTTGGTAAATAAAATTTACACATAAAGGGAAGATGAATGAAAGAATACGCAGCAAATCAATCTCTCATCCCAGAGTACCTTTGCATCGATGAAGCTGTCCGGCATTCTCACTGGCATTAAGGACTCTTCATTTTCCACCGTTCCTTCCAGGGTCTTTGCTACTTCATTCCCACTGGCTAAGGAGGCGCTGGTACGAGGTAACTGTTGAGTTCCCATCTGTGCTGTCTTGGAAGCCGATGATTTCCTGAAATATTGGCAAAAAGAGATCTAACTTTTAAGAATGAAATAGTATAGGAAAATGTGCCAAATTAGGCCTACACTCACTACTTTGTAAACAAGGAAATTCTTCAAAATGCATTTCTCCATTAAACCCCTAAATCTTTTTAGGAATTGTGTACAGGATTTTAACTCTAACTCGCTACTGGTAACTTTTATGAGTTGAGATGCTTCTTTCTTTTTGCCTCAATATCTGCTTAAATCAAGTGACTTCCCACACTTACTAAAGGCCATAATAGTTACAAAGTACTATATTTATTACTGTTTCTTATTTATGAAGTTGACGAAAGTTAAAATTTTTAAATTTATATATGTTCCCCTTCAAGTTGTGAAAATTGTTACAATAATACAATAATTCACTTGCCAACTGATGGTGAGTTTACAGGAGCAGTCCTGCAATATTTAGACATCACTAAAATAGTCTATACTAAACAAATGTAGACATATTTGTATTAACACTTCTTTTTTAAAGACTTATTTTATTATTATCATTTTTTCATTTGACCAGAGAGAGACAGAGAGAAGGAAAGTGAGAAAGCGAGCCAACAGGTCTGGGACTTGAACCTGGGTCAGCCACGTGGGAGTCCAATGCCCTAATTGTATCACCTGCTGGCCCTTTATTAAACATTCTTAAAGTGAGAAGCATGGACTATAAAAAGCCAGTTCCATATATATATATATGTGTGTGTGTGTGTGTGTGTGTGTGTATGAATTCTTCTGTTAACATGACATGTTTACAAGTGTGCTTCTACGCCGGAAGTCATACACAAACTGAAAAATCTATGCTAATTAAAGGAGACAAGTGATGAGGATTACTGAAAAACAATGTGTATTTGATGTTTTTCTTTTTAATTAAAGAAAATAACCTTAAGAGGGACCAGCAGGTGGCATGTTGCTTAAGGCACTAGATCCCACATGGCTGACTCCACAGCTCAAGTCCTGGACCTGGTGTCTTCAAAACTACATCAGGCTTGGGAACCAGCAGTTAGCGTAATGGCTATGTCGCTGGACTCCCACGTAGTCGACCGCGGTTCACGTCCCGGACCCGGTGGCTTAAAACTCACGCCGGGCGCATGTGCGTGCGTGCCCAAGATCCCGAGAGGAGAATGGAGGAGAAGAGATTGCGGCGTGACCATCCCCTCTGGGGGGTGATTTCTCGCTTTCTGTCTCTATGTCTCTCGCTGTCTGTCTGGCGAGCGCACGCGCCCTATAGCGAAAATCTCTCAAAAAAAAAAAAAAACAAAAAACAAAAAACAAACTACATCAGGCTTGTGTATGTGTGCATGCCCAAAATGCCAAGAGGAGAACAGAGGAGAAGGGCTTGTGACAAGGCCATCCCCCTGGGCATGCACACATGCATTACTGTAATTTAAATGTTTTTCATTACAACATCGCCAGCAGTGGCAACGCACCTGGCTCATGTTCCCTTTTCTTCTTTTCTTTTCTTTTTTTTTTTTTTTTTTGAGAGGCTTTTGCTATAGGGCATGTGCCAGAGACAGAGAGACAGAAAGCAAGAAATCACTCCCCAGGGGGGATGGCCACACCGCAATCCCTTCTCCTCCTTTCTCCTCTCAGGATCTTGGGCACGCACACACACGTGCCTGCCGTGAGTTTAAGCCACTGGGTTCGGGACTCTAACTGTGGTCGACTACACAGGAGTCCAGTGACATAGCCATTACGCCAACTGCTGGACCCATGTTCCCTTTTCTGACTCTGTCTCTTTCCAGTGAGCACACTTAACCTTATAGCAAGAAAAAAAAAAAAAAAAGAACTATTACTACTACTATCACTATTAATAACCTTAAGAAAGTTAAGTGGAAAATGAAAGCTAAAATATAAATGGTTATAAAGAGCGAAGTTCACTGAATGCAAGTTACTGCTGAAAATGAGTCAAAAATCAAACCACAGATGAGCCTGCCTGTCAGTTTATAGATAACCTAACCCTTAGTTATCACCCTTGTCTTACTACTTGCCTGGAGAGTCCCAACCATACGTCCGGGGTGCCCTCAGTGACTCAGGCATTTAACGCATTGCTCCACAAGGAAGGAATCTGGTCAATAAGCAGATGCCTCAGATTAAGTGTGCTATGCTTTTTTTTTTTTTTTTTTTAAGAAAGCTTCAAGGATTTGCTTTGTGTTTCTGAAAATACTAAGGAAATGAGAAAACAAGTTCCTCATTTAAGAACACTCTTCTGGTACAGCATTTTTTTTTTTTTAAATGGCAAGAAAATAATCTTCCTCCAAAAAGAGCACATTTCTATAGCTGTAAGAACTCAAGTAACAATGTATTTCTTTTAAAGTGAAAAATCCCAAGTTACTCTAAAAGGGATTTGATTTTAATTTGTTTCCTGTGGTTACTGTAATTTAAATGTTTTTCATTACAACATCGCCAGCAGTGGCAACGCACCTGGCTTTACTTCGGTATATCAAGATGAGGACACAGATGAGGATGCAGGTCAAGGCTATGCCAACGCCTACAGCGATGCCAGTCATCGATTTCTGGTCCAGATGGTAATAACCTGAATAAACTAGATGAGAAAACACATTTACTAAGCATCAATCAGAAAAGTAAATGATTTACCGTAATTCTCAGATAGATACTTGCTTTTCTCTAAGTTTCTTCATCTCATAGAAAAAGTTCTGACCCTCTGAATTAAGTGGAGACACGTTAACCTTTCATTAGTGATTTCAGAGACTGGTTTAATCTTCCAATATCGAAGATTCTCAACAGGGGTTTGTGTTTCCACGTTCAATGTCAAACATGAACATTAAGTTATAGCTTCTAATAGTAAAAGGTACCCTCACAGATGTTACTTGGTGGGCCCAACAATAATTTTCACCTTCATGCTGCTTTGAAAGCAGATCTGTATGTAGAAGACTTGTTTTCCATTTACACACATTAGAAAAATGCTTCTCAAACTTTAACTTGTGTATGAGTCACTAAAATGCAGATTCTGATTCACTACGTCTGGTGTGGGGCTTGCGACTCTGCATGTCTAACCAGGTCTCAGGTGAGGCTAGTGCTGCTGGTCCCTAGACCTCTCGAGTATCAGAGAATCTGAGAAGCAAAGACGGGCCTCTCCATTTCCCCAGATGACAGCTACTGCGGCTACCTCTCTCCTGTTCTTAGATCTGACTGCCCTGCCCTTCTCTTTTGCTCTCTGTCTCCTTCTTTTGCACTTATGTGCACACGCGCACACACACACGCGGCAAAGAATGACCAGTCTCTGTAGAGCTAAGAGCCCTTACCCCTGCCCTGAGTTCAATGGCATTTCCTCCATTCAAAGCTGTCCCCCTTCTCCACTTCACAGGCCTGGTCCCCCAAGGGGAGGGAAAGGAGAAGCACCAGTGACCACTCAGGGCCATTGGCTTCCCTCAGAACAGGACAGGTGCACCGGGTACAGTGAGGGTGGCTCTTTACAGACACTGTTTCCAATGACTTTTCTGGAGCGGAAAAAACTCTCTCTCCAGAAAGTATGTTTCTTTGTGGTAAAAACTCTTAATGGAAACCATGCTCTTCTTCGCCGGAACACCAAAACCACCACTGCTGTGTATTTCTATGAAACCTCCCGGGAAGCTCACGCCCACCGGTTCAGCGTGGGGCGGCTTGCCTGTCACGGTGGTTGCACAGCTGGGAAAAGAAGGAATTGGAAACACAGTGGTCTAAAAATTTCACTTAAAGCTGAGGTCATTTTGCCTCCTTTTAGGAGCACAGAGAAGAACCGTGGGGTCTCAAACCTCAGAACCTCCCTGAGAAGCCAAGGAACCAGGTGCAGTAGAGTGACTGACACGGCAGTGACGGGAGTTGGAATGCGGTGTATGTGAGCTGGAAAAACAGTGCATACTCTTTTCCCCTTAAGAAAAATCACAGTGACCGGGGCTGCGTACAGACCTTTGGTATCTGCAGAATCTAACCGCTTGGGCCTCTGGTTTGACTCAGAAGTGTCCTTTGGCAGCACTGCCAGCTCCACAGAATTTGAAAAGGGTCCTTCTCCCACCTCATTGGATGCAGATATCTTCACGATGTACACATTTCCTGCTACCAGGTTTTCCAGCAAGGCCATGGTTATTGCCCCTGTAGATACATCAATCACAAAGTAAATGAATTTTTATCTTTTACTTGTTCAAAATTCAATCACACAAAATGATCCTTCATTCATTTTTTTTTTTTAAAGAGAGTTTTTCTGCTATAGGGCATGTGCACTGGCTGGAGAGACAAGAGAGACAGAAAGCAAGAAATCGCTCCCCAGGGGGATGGCTGCACCACAGTTCCTCTCCTCCTTTCTCCTCTCGGGATTTTGGGCACGCACACACATGTGTCCGGTATAAGTTTCAAGCTGCTGGGTCCAGGACTTGAACTGTGATTGGCCATGTGGGAGTCCAGCAACATAACCATTACGCCATCTGCTGGTACCAATGGTCATTTAAAAATACTTTTCTGATTATAAAAGTGACATGTTCAATGTAGAACATCTGTAAAATAAAGATAAATGAAACTGCAACTTCTTTTTTTAATAATAATTTATTTAATTTTATTTATTCATTCATTTATTTTAATTTGACCAGAGAGAGATACACAGAGAGAGAGGGAGAGAGAAAGAGGGAAAGTGAGAAAGCAAGCCACCGAGTCTGGTATTCGAAACGCAGTAGGCCATGTGGGAGTGACCAGTGCCTTAACCACCACGCCACCTGCTGGTCCCTGAAACTGCAACTTGTACTGTTCACATTTTAGTGCATTTGTGTGTGTACCAGGGTATGTATGAACACATGTTTACTGCATGCATTTTTTTAGCTTCAAGTTTTCATTTAACACTGTACCATGCACATTTTCCCCATATAACCCTTCTCTGCAATTTTATTTTAGGACTAATTCTTTTTTTTTTTTTCAAACATACACAGTTTTTAAAGAATTATGATAATTTTATTTATTATTATTATTTTTTAATTTGACGAGAGAGAGAGAGAGAGAAGGAAAGTGAAAAAGCAGACCACCAGGTCTGGGACTTAAACTGCAGATACCATGTGGGAGTCCAGAGCCTTAACCACCATTCCACCCGCCAGCCCTAATTCTTGGAAGTAGCATACATTTTATTTGGGTCTCTGTGTATGTATATATATATGTTTAAAAGACATCAACACACAAGAGATAACCAAGACGTTCATGAAAAATGTATGTTATAAAAAACTATAAATGGTTTTCAAATTAGTTTGGCACCAAAGTAAAGTTGTATCCATTTTCCCACAAACTTTTTAAAGTACTGTGTGTGTATATACAATGTTTAATTTTTTACACAGTATGAATACAAATGACATGAAAAACTTTATTATGAAACATTCCAAACATACACACATAAAGGGAAAATACTATTATGAACCCAGATTTGATACTGTAACTGGATCTTAAATCCAAAGTGAGAATACTTTAACTTTCTTATTAGAAATGTTTAGGGGGCAGCAGCTGGTGTGGAGGTTGGGGCACTAGACACTCCCACACGGCTGATCACAGTTCGAGTCCTGGACCTGGTGGCTTGCTTTCTTGCCTTCCCTCTCACCCTCTGTGTGTCTCTCTCTGGTCAATAAAGTGAATGAATAAATGAAATTAAATAATTCTTAGAGAAAAAAAAAACATGTTTAAGCCCCTATGGCAATAACTAAGATAGATTATCCTCCTCTTCCTTCTTAAATTAGAAACAACACAAGTATTTTCAGAAGAATGAGTAGATTTTGCACCAGCCTCATTATTAAGCTCACGTTTTTTCAAGGTAGACAGGAAAGAAAATGTTAAGTTATACAGGATCCTCAAAATGGTGAAGATCTGGGTCTCAAATTAACTATATTATTAAAATTACTGCTACCTGTCTGCCTAGGACTGACTTCGCTCCTAAAGTAATCATGTATATGACACATGGTTTCTTAAGCTATCTTCTCTGTTGGCAAGACGGTTAACAAGGATCCCTGTTTCAACACTGCTTTCTTGGGAGGTCTTTTTGTTCTTGTTCTGCCACTGACCTGAAGTACTTTCTTTTTCTTTTTTTTTGGGGGGGGGAGGGAGAGGTTTTTGCTATAGGGTGTGTGTGCTAGCCAGAAAGACAGAGAGAGACAGAGAGATAAAAAGCGAGAAGTCACCCTCAGGGGAGATGGCCACACAGCAATCCCTTCTCGTCCATTCTCCTCTTGGGATCCTGGGCATGCACACACATGCGCCCACCCTGAGTTTAAGCCACCGGGTCCAGGACTTGAACCGTGGTCGGCTACATGGGAGTTCAGCGACATAGCCGTTACGCTACTGCTGGTCCCCTGAAGTACTTTCTTACAAAAGGGACTCCCATCCTAGAAATGAAATCTTAATGTTGAGAACACAGGTGTGATAGCAATGCAACCAGGAAGTTGTTCTAGCACTGCACGTACGGCTGGGTACACAGCGGGACCTCTAGCTTTCCTGCCATGATTTCATGCCACTTTCTCCTGACTCACGGCATCCTTATGACAGCTTCAGAGCGCTCACAATAGTTGGCAGCCGTCACCCAGACAAAGCTGGCTGCTCTAGTGTACTTGCCAGAATATATTTCATTACGTAAGAGAGACCTGGGGTGATCTTAGAGCTGAGGTCACAACGCAGAGGCTACCTCTGCAGGTCACATGGCCCGAGGCAGCCAGGCCCTTAGCAGCAAAGCCACAGCTTGTTTTCATGTTCTCTCGTTTCAACTTGGCTTGAAGACGGTGTGAGCTACTTGAGTACACAACTGTTAAATAAACAAAGTGACCCCCATTTAGAACCAGCAAGAGTATTTCCACTGTTAACCATGTTCTTAAACAGATGAATTAAAAAACAAAGGTGTATTGTGACACATTCCAATTAACTAGAAAGAAAAGCATTTCCATTTCTCCACAAATAGAGATATAGTTTCCATGTGATCGCAGAATACATTTCATTTTAAAAAGTACTTCGCGAAAACCAACTAGAAATTAAATGCTTTTCACTGGATTTAAGTTTCATAAATGGATTGGCAGCCTGTGTGCGCACACTCCCACCCCCCTTCTCCCCAGTGTTTTCATTTAGAAAATGGAAATGATGACATTTTGTACTCTCCAAGCATTTCCCAAGTATTCAAGTGATTTCACTGTCCCTGTGTTTTCTCAGACTGCCTCCATCTCAGTTAATGTGATCATTTTGGTCTTCTGCTTTCTATACATGTCTGAATCTTTTGCTAGACTAGGAGTTACTTTTTTCTTTTTTAGAGAGATTTTTTTGCTATAGGGCCCATGCACTCGCAAAGAGACAAAGACAAAGAGACGGAAAGAGAGAAATTACTCCCCGGGGAGGGGGGGGACGGTCACGCCACAATCCCTTCTCCTCCATTCTCCTCTTAGGATTTTGAGCACACATGCACACACACTCGGGAGTTTTAAGCCGCCAGGTCTGGGACACAAACTGTGGCTGACCACGCAGGAGTCTGGTGATGTAACCATGACGCCATCTGCTGGTCCTGTAGACTAGGAGTTTGTTAGGCAAGATTGTAATAGGTTCAATGTCAGACCGATGTTGGTGGAACCTTGACACGCTACCAAATAATTTGGGACGTGAGGCATGTAACTGAAGTGTGCTTTTTTCCACAGAGGCAATAGTTCTCACTGCATATAACTATTACACTGCAAGTATTAAACCATTGCTGGCAAGTGTCTGACACAAATTTATATTCTCAATTAAAGTATATACTTTCTTATCTTTGTTGCCTTCCTCTTCTGGAAGACAGCACTTTTTTTCCCCCCTCTATATTGGAACACCTTAAGGTAGGTAGCAGAATGCTTTATATAAGACTCTTAGAAAATACTAGGTGAATCCATTGGGCTGTCAGAATCACCCACACACTGAAAATCGGGTTATACCCACAGCCCACATCTCTCTCAGGAACTTAACCCTCTCAGTGTTTCGTCAACCTCTCCACCCGGACATCCAGAAACATCTTGAGTTTAACATGTCCAGAACCAAACCCTTGATTTCACCCACAGATTTGGCTTCTTTTCCCCTTGTACCCCAGATCAATCTATCAGCGGATAGGCTCTTCTTTCAAATTATGCTCCGACACCTCTGCATTCCCTTCACCATCATCATCCCTGTCCAAGCCGCCCATCAACTCGCATGTGGACGTCTGAGTGCCAGTCTTGCCTCCTACGTAATCCTGTTTTTTCAGGGGGCTGCTAGAGCAATACTTTTAAAAGGTAAATCTGACCAAAAGTCTCTAATTAATCTTCTCTCTCTTAGAATAAAATGTATGTTTTCCAGGTGCTTTACAAGACTGGCCCTGGGTTATCGCCCTCCCTCAGGTCTTCCTGCCTGCTCCTCCCCTCTCTTGGCCCCAGACTTCCCTCATGCTCCTCTAACATGCCATGCATTGTGCCTCAGGGCCTTTGCACTTACCCCGATATCCACATGGCTATGCTCACGTCATTTCTTCCAAGAGCACTTAACTTATGTTTAATTATGGCAGCTTCACCATTACTATGTTTAACTATGGCACTCACTTTGCCTCTTTTCCCTATGGTAGTTTTCTTTATAGCACTAAATGACTACATGAAAATGTATATATTTATTCATTTGTTACCTAGGACATAAGCTCCAGTGGGAGTGGGGGGTATGGACTATGGTATTACTGGGGCCTAAAACGGAGCCTAGCGCATAGTAATCACTAAGGATTTGTTTAGTAAATGAAGATCGTCCATTCCTTTATTGAAGGTATTTTTTTCTTTTTAGAGATTTTTGCTATAGAGTGCATGTACTCGCTGGAGAGTAGAGAAAGCGAGAAATCACCCCCCAGAGGGGATGGCCACGCACAATCCCTTCTTCTCCAGTCTCCTCTCAGGATTCTGGGCATGCACACACACGAGCCGGTATGAATTTTAAGCCACTGGGTTCAGGACTTGAACTATGGCCGACTATATGGGAGTCCAGTGATGTAACCACTATGCTATATACTGATCCCTATTATAGGCTTTTTAATTTGCAGTGTGAATCTCTAATAGGAGGAAAAGCACAGGGTGTTTCTCAAATTACTTAATCATAGAAATAGTTTTTTTGAAATAAGGGCATCTTTATGATCTTAGGAGACATAAAAAACAGAGTTCAGGAATTGCTGAGGTAGAAAATAACTTCCTCCAGTGCCCTCTAGATTTGAAAATAATCGAGTACTTTGTGCTGATTTACTGCATAGGAAGATAAAGGCTATAATTTCTGATCCTCTTTAAACTATAATTTTGTATCACATTTCTGCTTAACAATTCTACCATGTACCATTTTAACCACAAATATCATATGCTTACCAGAACTATTTTTATTTATTTATTATTTTTGGAGAGGCTTTTGCTATAGGGCATGTGCATGCACCAGAAAGAGAGAGAGAGACAAAGAGATAGAAAGCAAGAAATCACTCCCCCCCAGGGGGGATGGCCACACTGCAAGCCCTCGTCCTCCATTCACCTCTCGGGATCTTGGGCACACGCGCACACGTGCCTGGTGTGAGTTTAAGCCACCAGGCCCAGACTTGTACCGCGGTCGACTACATGGGAGCCCAGCAACATAGCCATTATGCCAACTGCTGGTCCTCAGAAATATTTTTAAATGTTTTGATTCATGAAAAAAATCTTGTTCCATTTGATATTAAATATGTAAATTAAGTACATATGTAAACATATGTTTAACTAATACACATAAAGAAGATTAACAGGTATACGGGAAAAACAAATTGACATTCCTTTTTCCTCCATCTATTTTCTACATCATTATCTTTCTAAAAGTTGCCATAAATAAACATAAAAGACAACTGGCATTATTTTCTTTAAATGCCATGCTGTATTCCTTGCTTTTTCTTTTTAAATGCAGGTGAGTCAAACCCTTATTTTCCCTTTCTGAAAAAAAAAAAAAAAAGAAACAACTCCATTGCCTTTTGCCTTTTTTGTTTTCTATGAATCACTATCATTAGTTATGAAAAAGGTTCTCTACAAATAAATGACCAAAGCTTATCACTGAGAATGTTTCTTAAAATCATACCAAGTGCTACACAGATGATTTTTTCCTGTGTGCTATTATATAGTTAGAAAGGTTTACATAGACGTAAAGCCTGCAATTACAATCTGTTTCACTACTGAGCTGTCAATGAGGCAAACACGCTGCTGTCTGAGTTGTCTCAAACTGATAAACGAATACATTTTAATGGAGCCCAAACAAAATACTGTTCCTCTGTAGGCAAGTAGGAATGAAATCTGTGATAGGCCAGCTCCATGGTGCAATGGGGTATGCTGTGCTGTACAAGAAAAGCTGGATCCCACATGGTGTCAGGTTTGACTCCCTAGCCCATGTGGCCTGAAAATGCTGCGTACATGTGTGAGTGCCTACCCCTGCTGGGCTGGAAGACTAGGAGGAGGAGGAGGTCAGAGCATGACCAGACCCTGTGGAAGGGATCCCTCCACCATGGTCTCTCACCTTCATTCTCACAGGTGCATGCATGTACTACTCTCATGGAGAAAGGAAAAAGCATGCCAGACAAGCACATGCATGCCCAGGATCCTGATGGGATGGAGAATAAGAGAGAAAAAAAAATATGTAGATGGCTAACAAGGCTCCTTCTCAAAATCTTTCTTATACTTTCTATCACTTGGCAAACTACTCTTTTCCCAGTAGGCATCACTGAACTAAGGAAGTGCCAAAATAACGAAGTTTTGCTATCTATGTGCGTGTCCGCCTGAAAACTGGCATATGGGACTTACTTAAATGAAAGCTTCAAGGTCTTAGAAAGGATTAAACACATGTAATGTTGAAGAGTTAAAACTGTCGGGACCAGCAGTTAGCATAAGGGCTATGTCGCTGGATTCCCATGTATTCGACTGCGGTTTGAGTCGTGAACCCGGTAGCTTAAACTCATGCCGGGTGCGTGTGCATGCGTGCCCAAGATCCTGAGAGGAGAATGGAGAAGGGATTGCGGCGTGGCCATTCCCCCTGGGGGGTGATTTCTCGCTTTCTGTCTCTCTCTGTCTTTCTGAAGAGCACATGCGCCATATGTCAAAAACCTTTTAAGAAAAAAAAAAAAAGAATGTTAAAATTTTTAGAATTCAGTTATTTCTCACTTGAAAAAAAAATTAGTGTTGAAAGAATTAAATTTGTAATTTTTTGTTAATGATCCCATGTATGGGAATATCCTTGATTGAGCCAATATACAATGTATTCTGGATGGAAAAAATCTCATTTTGTATACTGTACTGATGTACGGTGAATAACTGTAAATACATTTTTAAGAAATAATTCAATTTGTTATTAATCCCTAGTCAGCTTTTCCCTTTTCCCTGTAATCAAATAGATCCTAATATTGAAATGGGTCAGCTTAATTGCATTTGCATCATTTTAGTAGCAGCACAAAGGTCTTCTCTCTCAAATCGGGCCTTCTTCCAACGTTTCCTATTCCAGGGCAAGATGCGACACCATCAGGAACTCAGCGATTATCCATGATCCTCTCTCTCCTTCCTATCATCCACGCTGTAAAGTCCTCTTCAGTATCTTTCAACCATCCTAGTCTAGGCTTATCAACCCTTTTCTAGACAACTGTAAGTACGTTCTAATTTATCCCTCTGCATTACCTGTATCCACACTCCTCAACCAAACCCTTCTACTCACAACAGTAAGAGTGATCCTTCTAGAACGCAAAAAAATCCTTGAAATTGGTTGATGGCTTTCTGATGCTCTTTAAATAAAACCAACATCTTTAATAATTTATTTCATATATTAAAATGCACATTCAAAGCGACCTTGAGGCCCTTCTTTTTTTATTTTTTTGGAGAGGTTTTTGCTATATGGCACATGCGCTCACCAGACAGACAGAGAGACACATAGAGACAGAAAGCGAGAAATCACCCCCCAGGGGGGATGGTCACACCGCAATCCCTTCTCCTCCATTCTCCTCTCAGGATCCTGGGCATGCATGCACACGCGCCCGGCGTGAGTTTTAAGCCACGGGGTCCAGGAAGTGAATGGCGGTCGACTACTGGTTCCCAAGGCCCTTCTTTCACTGTTTCTGTATCACTAATACTCTGACTGTATCACTAATACTCTGACTGTGCACCCTTCTTGGTAACCCACGGGCCTGCTTACCTTCTCGGTGCAGGACCTGCCACTCTCCGGCCACCCAGGCCTTCCTGGATGCGTACAGGATAGTGTAGCGCGTCACGACCGTCTCGGGGCCGTCGGGGGGTTTCCACGAAACCAGAGCAGTGTCATCCTCTATCAATGTCACTTTGACTCCAAGTGGTGGGCCTGCTGGTGCTGGGCACACATGGAAAAAAGAAAAAATGCATTACTAGGGTGAAATAGTTCAGGAACACTCAAATTACCTGACAGACTGACAGGATTAGAAAGGAGTCTAAACATCAATAAAAACCATTATATATTTTTTTTCTTAAAATCACAGCTTTTAAAGATTATTGATCATTGTAAAGTAATATTTTTTCTTCTTTTCTGGCTAATTTCATCTTTATATGTTAGAAAATATAAAGGACATTTCTAGATGGGGAATGACTAAGTTGAAGGGGTAACATTTTTTTAGGGCTCTTGATAGGTTTTGCTAAATTGCTGACTAGAAAAGTCTACAGTTCCACCAGGAGGAGTGTCTCTCCATTAGATACTGAGATCCTACTAAAACATACAGAGCATTAACCTAATATAGAAGAAAACTGAAGAAAATACTCTGAGATTAAAACACTTAACTATGCTCACAAGTTATCAATCAGTAAGTCCACTGGACAGACTTAAGTTTAATACTTTATATACATAAAAAGTAGCCCAATCTTGGAATTTTAGTTGACTGCATGTTTAGTATAAGCTAAAAGCATGAAGAAGTTCTTCACACCACGTTCTTAATGGAATATTGCCAAAACTACAGCCAAGAAGTCATAAATGCCCCTTGCCTTCTCTCAGCATTATGAAAATAGAGCAGGGATAATCCTTCTAGATTACCTAGCCCTTCACTCTCATTCTAGAGAAAAGGAAAGGCAGGGCTAGAGACATAAAATATTAAGCTAGATATGAGGCAGGGGCCAGCAAGTGGCTGGTAGTTAAGGCACTGGACTCCCACATGGCCAGGTGTGGTTTGAGTCCTGGACCTGGTGGCTTGAAACTCATGTCAGGTGTGTGTGTGTGTGTGTGTGTGTGTGTGTGTGCATGCACAAGTGCCCAAAATCCCTGGAAGAGAATGGAGGAAAAGGGACTGCAGCCTGGTAATGCCCCCCAGGGGTTATTTCTCATTTTCCCTCTCATTATCTCTCTCTGTTTCTCCAGTAAGCACACAGGCTCTATAGCAAAAACCTTAAAAAAAAAAAAAAAAAAAGAAGATAGATATAAGACAAAATAGTAAGACAGTCATAGTGAAGATACAAAACTGATGCTCAATCAGCTACACAAGGGTACCTCAAAAAGTCTGTGCAGGGAACCAGCAGTTAGCGTAATGGCTATGTCACTGGACTCCCACGTAGTCGACCGCGGTTCGTGTCCCTGACCCGGTGGCTTAAAACTCACGCCGGGCGCATGTGCGTGCGTGCCCAAGATCCCGAGAGGAGAATGGAGGAGAAGGGATTGCGGCGTGACCATCCCCCCTGGGGGGTGATTTCTTGCTTTCTGTCTCTATGTCTCTCTCTGTCTGGTGAGCGCACGCGCCCTACAGTGAAAATCTCTCCAAAAAAAAAAAAAAAAAAAGTCTGTGCAAACTGGAATTAAAGTAAAAATTTATCTTGGAACAAAACAAATCTTGAAATCCATGCATAATTTGTTCATAATATGGATTTTCCATGAATGTTTTGAAGACCCCTGCATTTACACTGCTCTGTGCACAGCATTAAGCTACCACTCATACAGAAACTGGTTCTAATGTGAGTTCCTAAGCTCATTAACAAATACATTATTTACTTACTTAAATTTTAAATTACTTGAGTGCCGCCTTGAATAGCACACACGATTAAAAAAAAAAATGGCTTCCCTAAAGGGACACTAAATTTAAGCCTACTGCCTACATACTCTGAGAAGAAAATAAATAAAATATAAAGGAAAAGAAATTTCAAAAGTTAATAAGTAAAACAAGGGGCGGTCCTATCGTGCAGTGGTTAACTGCTGAGCATCAGAAGCCGATCCCATATGGCTGACTGCAGTTTGAATCCCAGCCCTGGTGGCTTGAAAAACATGCCTGGTATGTATGCGTGCACGTCCAAAATCTTGACGGGCTAGAGAAGTGGAGAGAAAAGGATTGTGGTGTTACCCTGCCCTACTGGGGAGCTTCTCACTCTGGAGAGTATACATGCCCACAGGCCTAAATAAATACAAAGAAAGAAGCAAAATAAAACAAAACAAATATTTACATGCAAGCTAGCCAGTGGCAACCAGGGTGGTACCCTTTCAAAATGATATGTATGTATATGTAGGTATATTTTTAAACATTTCTTACTTTTAAAAAGCTAAAACCCATAACAGAGCTGCTTTCTTACCTTCTGGAAGTGTGGAATGATAGACCACAGGGCTCCAGGGGCTGGAAAGTTGATCTACGTGTAATCGAACAGCAAATTCATATTTGGTGTTTGGTTCTAGACCTTGGACCAGCATGTGAGTTTCTGATCTATAATAATGAGCAATGACGCCGTTACTGCCGGTAGCACAGTGTTCCTCCAGGACTGTATTTCCATTTGACAGGTAGGGCTCGTTATTATTCATTAGCTCCTTCTTTTCTTTCTTTTTTTTTCTTTTTTTTTTTTAAGTTTTAGACCAAAAGAGCAATCTGATTTGACTACTAAAATACTACATGTAGTATCATCCTATAGAAATACCCTACAAGGGGACCAGCAGGTGGTGTGGTGGTTAAGGCACTACCACATGGCCAACCACAGTTCAAGTCCCAGACCTGGTGGCTTGCTTTCTCACTTTCCCTCTCTCTACCTCTTTCTATCTTCATCTCTCTGTGTGTGTCTCTCTCTGGTGAAATTAAAATAAATGAATGAATAAATAAAATTAAAAATACGAAGTAATAGCCCTACAAGTTGCCCCTTTGAGAGAAAACTAGAAAACTAACAGTAGAGAAATGTCCCAATACAGAGATTTCCTGGCTAGCAGGTAACCTGGTGGTTAAGGAGCTGGACCCCACAGAGCCAACTCCACGGTTTGAGTCCTGGACCTGATGGCTTAAAAATTACATGGAGCACATGTGCAAGCCCACCCAAAACCCGAAGAGGAGAATGGAGAAGAAAGGACTGCAGAGCGGCCATCCCCCGGGGAGTGATTTCGCACTTCCCCTCTCTCTGTCTTTCTCTGGTGAGCACACGCACCATACAGCAAAAACTTAAAAAACAAAACAAACTATATTTGGTACCATACTATACAACTAGGCCTACAAGTTGCCTCTTTGAGGAAAAACTAAGAAATGAACAGTACAGAAACGTCGCAGAACAAAGGGATTTCCTCTGAAATAATGGAAGTCAATTTATTCTTCTAAAGCACGATTAAGTAGGCACCTTTCTAACTCTAACCTAGAAAACAGATTGACAACTAGTTCTTCTTCTTTTTTTTTTAAAGAGGTTTTTGTTATAGGGCGCATACGCTCGCCAGAAAGACAGAGAGACAGAAAGCAAGAAATCACCCCCCGCGGGGAATGGCCATGCCGCAATCCCCTCTCCTCCATTCTCCTCTCAGGATCCTGGGCACGCATGCACACACGCCCGGCATGAGTTTTAAGTCACCGGGTCCGGGACGCGAACCGTGGTTGATTAAGTGGGAGTCCAGCGACATAGTCATTACGCTAACTGTTGGTCCCTAGTTCTACTTTTTGATACCAGCATGAAGATGGTCTTTAACCACTTAAAAATAATAATGGGGCAGGTTACAGTACAGTGTCAAGCAGTGTACGTTGGGAGCCAGATCTTACATGGCCAACCATGGTTTGAATCCTGGTTCTGGCAGCTTGCAAACCACACCACGTATATGTGTGTGCATGCCACAATCCTTATGGAAGGAGCAATGGAGGAAAATGGATTGCAGTGTGACCACACCCTCTTTCTCTTGCTCTTTCTGGAGAACATACATACTCTGTGGTAATTTTCTCCCTCCCTCCCTCCCTCCCTTCCTTCCTTTTAATTAAAGAGAGACTTTTGCTAAAGGCACTCACCAGAGAGACAGAAAGCAAGAAAAGCCACACTACAATCCCTTCTACTCTTGGCATTTTGTGCATGCATACACATGCACCTGCTATGAGTTTCAAGCTGCTGGGTCTGGGACTCATACTACAGTCAACCACTTCAGAATCCAGCACCTTAACCATGGTGCCACCTGCTCGCCCCACGCTGTGGTAGTTTGTTTGTTTTCGTTTTTTATTTTTGGAGAGGTTTTTGTTATAGGGCGCATCCACTTGCCAGAAAGAGAGACAAAAAGCGAGAAATCACCTCCGGGGGGATGGCCATGCTGCAATCCCTTCTCCTCCACTCTCCTCTCGGGATCTTGGGCACGCACACACACGCACTCGGTGTGAGTTTAAGCCACTGGGTCCGGGACTTGAACTGCAGTCAACTACATGGGAGTCCAGTGACATAGCCATTATGCTAACTGCTGGTCCCTTTGGATTTTTTTTGTTTTTTGTTTGTTTCTTTGTTTGTTTTTGTTTAAGAAAGAAAAGACTATGGGACCAGTAGTTAGCATAATGGCTATGTCACTGGACTCCCATGTAGTTGACTGCAGTTCAAGTCCCGGACCCAGTGGCTTAAACTCACACCGGGCACGTGTGCGTGCGTGCCCAAGATCCCGAGAGGAGAGTGGAGGAGAAGGGATTGCAGCATGGCCATCCCCCCGGAGGTGATTTCTCGCTTTCTGTCTCTCTGTCTCTCTCTGTTTGTCGGGCGAGTGCATGCGCCCTATAGCAAAAAAAAAAAAAAGCCTCTCCCCCACCTCCCCCCCCAAAAAAGAAAGAAAAGACTAATAACCTCTTACCTAAACTTGTTGCATGAGACTGGGAAAACGAAAAAAAAAAAAATAATAATCATTTACATAAATTAAATTCCTAAAAGTGCAGTTTTCAGAACTGAGTATAGTGAGGGACTGCAACACTCCCTTATAAATAAGTCCTAATGCAAACGCTTATAGGTGGAGCCCCCAAGCGGGGTCCCCGATAATAAACAGTGTGAGTGGGAGGAAAGCAGAGAAACAACCAGTAAGCTACATACGTTTGAAGGTACAGAACTAGAGACGCATTCTGCAGGCCCACGGGGTTACAGCGGATGGTGTAGTTAATGGTTTGTGCAGTGGTGAATGCGGGCCTCCGCCAGTGCAGGAAGATGGAAGATGAGGTGTTAGCCTTCGCGTAGAGATGGTGGGGTGGTGGTGGAGGAGGAACCGTGCGATCACGAACCGCTGTTGAAAAAAGGCAATGTTAATTTACTGTATGACCCAACACTCCAATGTACACTAAGAAGTAATAACAGTCAAACCAAGAATACTCCACCCTGGATATTGCTTTTAGGGTTTTCTTTTTTTTTTTGGAGAGAATTTTGCTATAGGGAGCATGCGCTCGCCAGACAGACAGAGACATAGAGACAGAAAGGGAGAAATCACCCCCCAGGGGGGATGGTCACGCCGCAATCCCTTCTCCTCCATTCTCCTCTCGGGATCTTGGGCACACACGCACACGCACCCGGCTTGAGTTTTAAGCCACCAGGTCTGGGACGCGAACTGTGGTCGACGACGTGGGAGTCCAGCAACATAGCCATTACGCTAACTGCTGGTTCCCTAGGTTTTTCTTTTCATCAGGAATTCATAGTGGTCTAGAGATATGTCATTCAAATGACATGACTCCTCATGAGTCAAACGCTATCAGTACTTAGCTGACTGAAAAACACAAGCACAGAGAAGTCAAGCTACTAGCCAAAGATATTCAGAAAACTAGCAGTAGACTTGACTCCATGGCCCAGCCACTGTGGTGCATGCTGATAAGATGCTGCTGCTCCATAGGCTGATGCTGCATGGAAGGTTCAGGTTCAATTCCCAGTCTTCCCTAAAAATGTGGTAAGGGGTACCATACGCTTACAATCTCAGCTACTTGGGAGAGTGAGCCAGTGGGCTGGGCAAGACCCTAGCTCTAAAAAAAAAAAAAAAGAAAAAGAGCAGAATTGCAGAGCAACATCCTCTTTAGTAGCGATAACACTGAACAGGAACTGGGGAGAAATAGCTTCAAGGTGAAAGCAATTCAGTATGTAGATCATCTGTGGTTATTTTTCTCCAACAGATTTCTAATGGCCTGTACATGCAAAACCAAAATAAATATAATCCAATACATCTCATTTAAATACCTACTGAGCACCTACTTATTCAAGATACTATGCTAGATAGCATGGAGGACAGAAAGGCCTCAGACCTCCAAGGCTTCCCAGTAGCAGTGGGTCTGGGATTTAAGGAAGGAGGAGGAGTAAGAGGAGAGCGAGCCACAGGGAGACAAGCTACACCACTCGTACGTACACACACATCCTGGCGTGCTGACGGTCTGATCTGCCTGATAGCCGTCTTCCATGCTGCTGTAAGCCAGCAGCCTCACGTGGTATTTTCTTCTGGGGTCTGTAAAGAAACCAACAGGCAATAATCAGGACCAGCATGATAAATATGAGCAAAGAATCGGGACACAGCCTTTCTAAAATCCAGTTTAAAAACTTTTGAATGCATAAAAAATTCTAAGTAAAATGAAATCTCTTCTGCTTCTCATTATACCACACAATGACTCAGCAATTCTCCTTAGTATATTACTGCAATGGTGATCACTTCCCAGTTATTTAAAGTTTTACTTTAACCTAATTTTTAAATTTATTTATTTCCTTTCATTTGACCAGAGAGGGACAGGATGAGAGAGAGAGAGGAAATGAGAGAGCAAGCCACCAGGTTGGGGACTTGAACCACTTTCGGCCATGTGGGAGTCCAGCGTCCCCAACTACCATGCCACCTGCTGGTGCCTTCAACCTAATTTTTAACAATAAGTTACCACAACCACTCTTCCTCTTTCTTCCCCCACATGAGCAGATAGATTCTTGATTTAAGAATATTGGGCTACTTGATAGCTTTCAGAGTTACACTATTTAAATTTTTTTTTTTTTTGGCTTAGGCAGGAATATTTGAGAGTAGTTTATTTTAAAATATCAGAATCAAAATGAGATTATTTACTCCCTCGAAGTTACAACTGTCATCCTTAAGTATCTCTGAAAGATCTTACAACTATATATTGTTTATTTCTAAGTGCGCTCTTTCTATAAACCTACGTTTTTAAGTTGAGAGCTAAATTTGCCATGAAAGATGAATTGAAGCTCCCTCTACTGGTGTTCATTAACTATCACAATATTAAAACAAGGACATCAATACAAATTTTTCAGGACTTTGAAGAAATAGACTATAAATTGTAACATAAACTTTAAGAAACATTCGAGACAGTTAATAAAAATAAATTTAAAGTTAATTGTTTATAATGACAAATAATTTTTAGAGATGAAATAAAGTACTTGCCTAGGGCAAAAATAAGTAGGACTCAGAAATGAATTGTTCTAGTTTATTTCTCTAAATAATAATAAAACAAACACGCAAATAAATGCAGTATTTCATAAGGGAAAACAATCTTCTGTATGAATCCAATGTGGAAAAGGATTTGAAATTAAAGAATAAATTAATTCTATATGAATTCAACAAATAAAAAATAAAAAAATAAAATGTAAAGTTCATGAAATTCTCTAAGGTAGTTTAAGAGTTTGCATAAATATCTTAGAAATGGATCAATATATTCTAACATTTAATATTAATATGCATTAAAAGGATATCTTAAATTATAAAATGTTCATTTGTTTTGACAAAACTAAAGCCATTGGAAGGCTTTTTTTTTTTTTTTTTAGATTTTTGCCATAGGGTGTAGTGTGTACACTAGCTGGAGAGAGACAGAGAGAGAGAAAGTGAGAAATCATCCCCTGGGGGATGCCTACACAATTCCTCTTCTCCATTCCTCTCATGGGACTTGGGGCACACACACACACACACACACACACACACACACACCTGGTGTGACTCACAAGTCACTGGGTCCAGGGCTTAAATCATTCGGCCATGTAGGAATCCAGTGCCTTAACCACCATGCCACCTGCCGGCCCCAGGAAGAAAAATTTCTACAACCTAGGAATTTCCTGTGCTTTCTAGATAAAAATGTCAGAAGGCAAGCAACATCTGGCTATCCTATAGAAAATGTCTTTTAGATACATCATCTACTCAACTATCACCAAACTCGGTAAGGTGTACATTTTTTCCTGTTTTATAAACTATGGCACAAAGGTGTTAGGGAGAATGTCCAAGGCTATGCAGAGCTGAACCAAGAACTTGCAAATATTTCTATGACAACGGATAGGGCCACTGAATTTACACAAATACACACATCCCCTTGTCACAAGCTTGCCTTTGCATAATGAATTTTTAAATAGAGATATTTTCAAATATTTTATAGAATAATTATTAGAAAATAGACACACATTCGGATTTCGTCAGTCAAATGATTTCCATCATTCAGTTTTGAAATTTTTTAAAGGATTATTTTATTTATTTTGTTCATTATTATTATTATTTTAAAATTTGTGACAGGGCACAAGTGCTCACTAGAGAGAGAGAGAGACAGACAGAGGGGGGAAAGTGAGAAAGCAAGTTGCCACATCTGGGACTCAAACTGCAGTCATCTGTGTCAGAGTCCAACACCTTAACTACCACACCACCTGCTGGCCCCTAGCATTGAAATTTTAAGATGTATAAGATTCTGCTTCAGACTGATGGCTATTTGATGCTGTTTTCCTCTTTCTTTCCTCCTAACATATTGCTGAATGCTTTAGTCAATGGATTCCTGAGTTGGGTGTTACAAATACTCTTCTGGAATGGGTACAAGTGGAATTCAATCCACACTTTACATTCTAATTCTTTAAAAACTCATAGTGCAACCTTGAACACTATTACTTTGCTCTGTTTCTACTCAATTAGAAGAAAGTCCTTAGGAAACCCTCCTGATGGAAGGTGTTGTGCAGAAATGCAGCAGACGCTAAAGAGGAAGGCTGAGACTCATCTGCACCCATAGTGGCTCACTCTCCACCCTGCCAGACACAGAGATGTCTCTTTCTCACAGAAAGCGGATTTTGATGAGGGTTATGAGTACAGATTGAGAGATTACTCTATTTTTTTTTTTTCCACTGTCCAAACAACTTTAGTCAACACTGCATGACTCCTGATGGAAGGTGTTGTGCAGAAATGCAGCAGACGCTAAAGAGGAAGGCTGAGACTCATCTGCACCCATAGTGGCTCACTCTCCACCCTGCCAGACACAGAGATGTCTCTTTCTCACAGAAAGCGGATTTTGATGAGGGTTATGAGTACAGATTGAGAGATTACTCTATTTTTTTTTTTCCACTGTCCAAACAACTTTAGTCAACACTGCATGAGTAACTTCTTTGGAACAGTTACTATTTATTAGCCTAAAATGGATTCTGCAAATTATTCCTTTTACTTCATTAAAATATAAACTGCTTACATGAAATTCTAAACCCACAATCAAACTATGCTAATCAGACAGAAGTGGCTTCTGTGTTCTGAAAAGAGGAGAGAATCCCATCGCTCCTCGACGCTCGAGCCGCTGCTCTTGCCACTCAAGGCCTTCTCAACCCAGCCCACGTGAGGAGCAGCAGCTATCCTGGTGCCTGTTTGGAGACTGTCAGGTGCCAGGTCCTCCCATGCTAGTTTACCTGAGGGCAGATGAAAGCATGCCCGGTAGGACAAGCATGCCGGGTGGACAAAATTCTTTCCATCCAAACAAAAAGGTAAGATATGCATCATGCTAACTTGGTTAATTATTTTAGTACAAAATCGATCATGGTGGCATGTGCTAACCAGACACTACTCTGTGGTCTGGGGCCATGTGGGAAACACAGGTTCACTTAGTGGTGTGTTCCTGTCATCCAGAGACTCAGGGAGTCTGAGACAGGACGATCCTGACAGAGACCCTGCATTAAGAAAACAAAAAGTAAACAAAACAAAACAAAAAAACAACCAAACTAGGGCTGGCATTGAAGCCTAGTGATTAAGGGAACTGGAGCACATGAAGCCAACAGGGTTTGAATCCTGGCCCTGGCAGCTTGAAATACACACTGAGTACTTATGCATGTGTGCCCCAAATCCTGACAAGATGGAGAAATGGAGAAGGGACTAGCATGACCATGCCCCACTACTCTTCCCACCCCCCTACCTTCTCTCTTTAGTGAGTGCACGTGCTCTCTGGCAATTAAAAAATTATCGAGGGGGCCAGCAGATGGCATACAGTTATGTCACTGCACTCCCACATAGCTGACCGATGTTTGAGTCCCAGACCCAGTGGCTTAAAAATCACACTGGGCTTGAGAACACTCAGTCGGAAAAGCACCTGCACATCGATGTTTAAGAGACCCAGTGGCTTAAAAATCACACCGGGCTTGAGAACGCTCAGTCGGAAAAGCACTTGCGCATCGATGTTTAATACAGCATTATTCACAATCGCTAAGACATAGAACCAACTCAAATGTCCACAATCAGATGAATGGATAGAAAAAGTGTGGCATATATACTCTATGGAATACTACTCAGCCTGGCATTTGATAGAAAGTGGTTGAATATGGAGGATCTATTGCTATGTGAAGCAAGCCAGGATATAAAAGAAAGATATTGCATGTATCCACTTAATAAATACCAACTATCAGCACTTTATGGTAGAGATAGAAATACTGGAGGGCATAAAACCAATGAAAATAGTTAGGGATGCTGGAGACAGTGTGGAATGAGGTGGGAGAAAGGAAGAGTATAGAGAAGGACAGCAAGAGATTAAATAGAGAAGCATGGCATTAGTGGGACGCAGAAATGGCTTATTACCTGTTGATGATAACATGTATAGTATTCTCAACGGGGCTGGTCTGAGAAGTATTTCATGTTGGGTAATTATTTTTACAAGCAAAATGATACATAGTGATTGAATGTTTAAAAAATAATTAGAGTAATAATAATAATAATAATCTGGAAAAAATGATGAAAGCCTATTTGAGGATGATGATGATGTGGATAGTAATGTCTTTGTCTTGACTGATATGCATGGTATTCCTTCTGGAAAAAGAAACGTGATACACTGTGAAGACATATGTGATTCCATGTAACATAAACAAGATTATGCTAATAAATCAAATACAAAGTAAAAAAAAAGGGCTTAACAGACGCAAGAATGTAAGGCTCCTTGTTGGAGAAGATGTATACGGTAATAACCTTGATTTGAATGCACACATTAAAACACCACGCTGTATGTCATAAATATGTATGATTTAATGTAAATAAGAAATTATAAAATACATTTTTTAAATGATTAAAAAAAAATCACACCAGGCTTGTGTGCATGTGTCCCCAAGATCCCAAGAGGAGAATGGAGGAGGAGGGACTGCGGCACGGCCATCCTCCCTAGGGGGTGATTCCTCACTTTCTCTCTCACCATGTTTGTCTCTCTCTCTCTTTCATCACGCACCCAGCATGATGTTCAAGCT